CAAAAACCTCGTGCACCCCGGTGAAACGGCGAATTCGATTTAAGGAAACCGTGTGAACACGGGCCTTCGGTTTGATTAATTTACTTTGATTCACCATTATTTTATCCAATAGAATATGTAGAGATTAGGTTTAGGCATTGTTTGAGGGTCCCACCGTAAAACAAAAAGTCAACTTCTACTGCCTAACAGTTGGAATTTCTAAATGGCTGAAAGAATTTAAAACAAACAGGGGCTTAATTAAATTTTTATTAATTATAATTATTAAAACTTAATTACCACCTGATTTGTGAAATAAAAATTAATCCACCTGTTTTTTTAAAATGAATTTTTAAAAGTGGGTTTCCAGGTAATTTTCTCTTTTTTTAATTAAGATTTGGATTATTGGGCTTTCCACTTCAATTATTCAGCAGCCAATGAGCCCATTACCAAGAGACAACTTATGCATGCACTGACACACAACACAGACCGCTCTTTCAATCAATTGTTCAAACTTCAAACCAGATATTTCACATGCACTAGTGCGCCTTTTTTCCCACCATCGACGACTCCTTGTTGTGCCACACTGCCTCAGCCTCACTCTCGTCTATCGCCACCTTCCACCACCGACCAACGGTGATTGATGTCTCTTACTTCGTCTTTCTTACTTTTCGTGAGGACTTGCTTTCTTTTTTTTCCTTGATAATCAAATCTTGATATATGCTGCTATTTGGCTGGTAAAATTCTCAGAAAATTATCGTCTTTTTTTTTTTTCCTTTTTTGGTGGTTCAAGATTAAATTTTGCCATGCCTTTTTCATGGGTTTTATCTGTCAGCTTTTCTCTAGCCCTTTTCTTGAATGGATTTAGTATATGAGGCATTGAAGATGGGCGCCAAAGCTTAGATAGAGATTAGTCACTCTTCCCAGGCCAAGAAGGTTTGAATTTTGAAATTGGAGTTTTTTTAGTTAATTTGTTTATGCTAATGTCTGTGTGAAAGAATTCAAGTTTGGAAGTATTTTGGAATTTTTGATCCATTGAATTAATCGGTTATTGCGTTCTTGTATGATTACATGATAATCGGTTATTGCATTTTTTGTACGTTTTAGTTGTGATATTGCTTTTGTGAAATGCTTGTTCAGTGTGTGTTTTAGTTTTAAAATGTTTGTTTAGTGCCTATTGGTTTTGTTTTGAGGTCAGTTGTCTTGATAGAAATGCGAATTGATAATGAAATTATTGTACAACAATATTTAAATGAAAAAAGCTAATTGTACAAAAAAAGGTTGACAAAAAAGTTGACAAACCGTCACATGATTGCCGGCCCCACGTGAATAAAAAATTGGAAATAAAAAGTGGGCCCCCCACA